AAGTAAGTATATAAAGTGGTTATTATTAATATTACTTTAATTAACGTTATTTTAGATAAATAAGAAGTCTTTACACGATGCATTTACCCTTCCATAACCTGAAGAATAATACCTCAAGATCGAGTCAAAGATATTATTTACAAAATATTACATTTGGCTAAAAATACAACAATATGAAGTTAAATTATGATTTAAAGTTAATGCACATTTACTTTACTTGTAAATAGAAAATAAATAAATAATTAATATGTATTAAGAAATGTATTGTTATATTTTATTAACGTGCCATCTTCAAGGTTATAAACAAAATAATAAATCACCACATTCACCATTTTGTCAAGATATATCAATTAAAATAAATATAAGAAAATTAATTCCCCTTTAAAATATATAACCGTAACATACCCCCCTTACCTACGGAAAAAAAAATAGAATATTTTTTTTTTAGAATATCTTTAACAAGAATAGAATATTTTTAATAAGAATACCGACACTCCATAAGACACAAAAACTACCTTTCAAAGTAATAAGCAAATTAGCGAAAAGAGAAAACAACAAAAATGCTACTGTGGCTCGGCCTCCCCCTTATACGGTTTCAGATCCTTTACATGCCAGTTACCCTTCGATGTGCCATGTTCATCCATTAGCTCATATACGTTTATACCTAATTTGTTTTTGATTTTATAAGGACCTGTGTATTTTTTGCCTAATTTAGCAGTGTAACCTCTAGCCGCATCCGAAAGATTGTATTCTTTTTTCCACACAAAATCACCAACATTAAATGTTACTGGTCTATGTCTAAGATTATATTGATGTTTAGTTTTCTCATGGACACTTTGTAATTTTTCTGTTACCAATTTACGCAACCTCTCTAACACTACTGACCTTCCCTCTGTCTTCACATTCTCACTATCACTTTTACACTCATCCCTTTCACGCTCTCTTTTATAATCTTTGCCATCCACCATCATTTCACAACCAAAATTCACGAAATAAGGCGTATTACCCGTAACTTCACTTTTTGCTGTTCGATATGCACAAGATAATTCAAGCAAATATTGGTCCCATTTTTTATGATTTTCCTTAACATAGCAAGAGATCATTGTTTTTATTACCCTATTAACCCTTTCTGTAAAATTTGGTTCTGGATGATAAAGAGGATTGGCTAAAAATTTTACACTGTATTTATTTAATAATGCACTAAATTCTTTACTTTTATATTGTACTCCGTTATCAGCTTTTAAAAATTCTGGCACACCAAATAAGAGAAATGATTGTTCTATAAGTTCAGATACTTTGGAAGCAGTAGCTTTACGTAATGGAAAAAATAATGAGAATTTACTAAAATAATCTGAGTAAACTAAAATATATTGGTGACCTTTACTACTACGAGGTAATGGACCTACTAAATCTGTTGCCACGTATTGCCAACACCGCTTAACTACAGGTTTTTCACCCATCATTCCAGCTTTCATTCTTTGTTCAGGCTTTTGCTCACCACACACTTTACACTTATTTACATATTTACAAACTTCAGACTTCATACCAGGCCAAAAATAATGTTCACTAATTTTATGATAAGTTTTAAAAATACCTAAATGTCCACCATTTAAAGGATTATCATGATACTTAGCTAATAAAAGTTTTCTTTCAGATTTTGGTACTACTTTTTTCCAGGATGCGTCATTGACATGATCCCTATGTTTACCTACATGTTTATACAAGTCGCCATTTCCCGAAATACGCCAATTTGGATATTGTAACGGATTATTATTAATATTTTTTTTCATTTTTTCAATCCAATTGTCTGTTTTACCCGTGTCTAGTTTTATATTTAACATATCGAGTTTTAATTGTCGACTTAAGCAATCTGGTACTTTGTGTTCTTTACCAGGTCTATGAATGATATTAAAATCGTAAGCTTGTAAGCGCAATGCCCACCTACCTAATCTACCTTGAGGGTTCTTTAAATTATGGAGCCATAACAAGCTATGATGGTCAGTTACAACTGTGAAATGAGTCCCTTCTAAATAACATCTGGCTCGTTCTACGGCCCAAATAACACTTAAACATTCTAATTCTGTGACTGTGTACTTACGTTCACATCTGGTTAATGTACGAGACATATAGCAAATTACGTGTTCTTGACCATCATACCTTTGCAAAACGACTGCCCCTAACCCATATGAACTAGCATCACATTCAACAATAAATTCCTCATTAAAGTTTGGACAAGATAAAATTGGAGCACTGACTAGACAATTTTTAATTTGTTGAAAAGCTTCTTCACACTGGGCAGACCAAACAAATTTTGCGTTTTTTCTGGTTAAATCAGTTAAAGGCGATACTAAACTTGAGAAATGTGGTACAAACCGTCTATACCAAGATATCATACCTAAAATTCTACGAACTTCTTTAGTTGACTTTGGTTTTGGCATGTCTACAACTGCACTAACTTTACTTGGATCTACCTGCAATCCCTGTCTATTGATTATGTAACCTAAAAATTTTAATTCACTCCGACAAAACTGACATTTATCTTTATTTAAAGTTAACCCTGACTCTTTAAGACGCTTAAATACTTCTTCTAATACCGAAAAATGAGTTTCAATATCAGGCGTTACAATTACTATATCATCCAAATATTTAAAACAATATGGCTCTAATTCCGGACCGAAAAGTTTATCAACCAATGCCTGAAAAGTAGCGGGCGCATTAGTTAAGCCAAATGGCATTCTATTAAAATGAAAAAGACCTCTTCCTGGTATTGCAAAGCTAGTATACTTTTTACTATTTTCACTCATTTTTATTTGCCAATATGCGCTTTGAATATCTAATGTTGTTAAATACTTTGCATTTCCTAAACGATCTAAAATAGTACTTAAATTTGGTAATGGGTATGCCCACTTTTCAGAAATTGAATTAATTTTCCTAAAATCAACGCAGAACCTATATGTGTTGTCTTTTTTCGGAATCATTACTATTGGAGAACTATAAGAACTTGTGCTTTTCTCAATTACGCCTAGCTCTAACATTTTTGTTATTTCTAAGTCAATTTTGTTTTGGATTGCCTGACTTACTCTGTAATTTTTCTGTTTAATTGGAGAATTTTGAGTTACAATAATTTCATGTTCCACTAACGATGTACACCCTAACTTAATATGTTTTATTGAATCAAAATACTTTTCTACAATAATATTTAACTTTTCTCGTTGTGCTAAAGATAAATCATCTGACGTTGAAATAGAATTTGTGACTAAGATATCTTTATGATCTTGTTCCCCAAAATGCCATTCACCCCTTCTCAAATCTGGTACAATCCCCATTTTAATCCAAAATTCGGTTCCTAGCACTAACCTATGCCTAAGATTGTTTAAAATATATACTTGGAAAACGACTATTTTGTTTTTAAGCTTAATTGGCACTGACATAAATCCTAGACACTCGAGTTCAGAGCCATTTGCGACAGTACAAGTCATGTCAGAAACATTTTGTAGTTTTACCCCTAAACTTAACATCACATTCATAGTGTGCTCATTGACAAATATTCTATTCGCCCCAGAATCAAGCAACCCTTTTACTTCCCAATCATATAACCTAACTGAAACATATGGACATTCACCATCTCCGGCCTGAGTTAACATGTAGTCTAAAATTGGTTTACTATATGTGTTAAAGTTAAACAGTTCATCCTTAGAACAAAAATTATCAATACTAGAATCTAAGCCAAAATTATCAACCGATAAAACCGTCGAAGTTGAAGCTCGGTTTACACTTAACTCCTCGAACCGTTTCCCTGTTTATTACATTTTGGACAACTAACTTTTGTATAACCTAATAACCCACAAGAAAAACACTTTCTGACCTGCGCTTTACAATGTCTTGCTAAATGATTATCCCCATTACATCTATAACACTTAACGACGTTCCCTCTAGTGTTATTATCCAAATCCCTATTATAACTATCATACCTACTATTTCTATGTTCCCTATAACTACCTAAATCAGATCTATCCCTACAGGACGACCTGCCCCTATTAAAACTATTTTCCCTAGGCTGATTCCCAGCAAAATAATCATTATTTCTACTTAACCTATTTTTATTATAATACCTTTCTGGGGTATTATGACGTTCCCTACTTCTGTCTTGATAAAATCTGTCCCCATTATAACTTTCAACACTACTCGAACGATCGTTACTCCTATTCCTATAAAATCTAGCTCTATCATATGACCCATCTCTCCATTTATTTACTGTCCCAGTTCGTCTGTCTTGTTCCCTAACGCTACCCCGATTTAACCTATCGTTACTAATTTCTCTATTTCTACCTAAGTGAGCATTTCTATCTGTACTTTCTCTATCTGAACTATAGTTTCTACTTTTATTATTTGAAATTTGTTTATTACTTGGTTGTAAATTAAAACTGACTTGTTTCTCTGCTTCCAAACTATCTAACCTTTTCCTACTTTGTTTTTCAATCGCATTAGCCTTATATAGCAAATCTGGTTCAACTGAGTGCTTATCTACTGTTGGCGGTACAAAATTCAAAACATTCACTCTACTATCCTCAATTCGTTTACAAAGCTTAATAAGTTCATCCACTGTAGATATGTCCACTAACCCTAGCTGCGTTTGATAAAATGGTAAAATATTTTTTCTCAAAATTTTTAGTTTCATAGCTTCGTTTATTGATGCAGAGCATCTGTTAAATAAATTAGTCATGTATGCTACATAAATTGTAATGGATTCTTTTTCCCCTTGAGTTCTTGATTTGATTTGCTCCCATAACCTTTCAGTATAATCCCTAGGCAAAAATTCTTCCCTGAAATGTTCACATAAAGTTTTCCAATCATTAACTTTCCCTTTTAATGCCCTGTAGAAAATAAGAGCCTTTCCCTCAAAAATTTCAATAGCACCCCTGAATAAATCATCATGTGACACATTATGAGCTTCACACAGTTCTTCAATTCTTTCTAAAAATGCATTTAATCCCATTGTATCTGAATCCCCACTAAAAGTTAAACCCCACGAAGAAAAATTAACCCTTTTGTTAAGACTTAAATTATTCATTAATACTGGCAGCCCAGTTGCACTTTGATTTTCAGTTGCATTTGAACTAGACCTATTGGGAGTTGAAGTTATTAAACTTTGCTGAAATTGGATATCTAAAGGTTCTGACGATCCCTTATGTTCCTCACACAACTTTCGAAAAAGTGATACATACTTAAAAATATCAGTTAAGAGTTTTGCTTTTATTTCTATTATTTCTTTATCATTGGAAGTAATTCTCTCACAACGACCTACTAAATGCCCTAATTTTGATTTTAATTTTCTAATAATGGCCTCCGATAGTGGAGCTTTAATCAGAGATTCAAGATCTATTAATTTTTCCTGGCAAATTTTAATTTCACTCTCAGCATCAAACTCAACTTTCATACTAAATGAATGACCCTCGTTCTCTAAAGTTAGCAAATCACGAAGTGTCCTTGTTAACTCTTTGACATTTCCAGTTGGTAAAATTCCTCTAATCTTAATTTCATACTCAAGCTCTTCCTTTACGAGCCTATCAGGTTCAATTTTCATCATTTTGATAAGTATTATGATACGAAATAGAAATAGAAAATAGGACTTATATAAAGATTAAAAAAAA